AGGAAATAAAAAATTCGACACTACCAACGTCTGTTTCGGCGACCAACTTCATACGTACCACGTCTCTGATCAAACCGATCCACCCCTCCCATCCTCTTTGTATACTCAGTCGCTGCCAGAGGACAGGAGATTTTTTTCCTGGTACCATCCTTCATAGTTCTTTGACACTCGGTTTTTGCTTTAGGGTGGAATGTTGTACTCAGAACATGCACATTTTTGGTGTCCTTCCAAACCATGAATGCGACGTCACTTTTCACTCTCCATATATATTTCCTTTTTCATAAGATATTGCATCAGCGGATTTTTTTTTTAATGGGGGAAAATCATCGTATTCATTGAACAATGGCATCGCGAAGTGATCCACCGGATCGCGGTGGGTTCCGCAAAAGTCAGTTAACTCCGCGGTCACCACCCTCGACTAGCTCGAAGCGACTATTTAGTGAAATGTCGCCTGCGTACGCGACTCCTGACGAAGACAGGTCTAAACGTTTGCAATGTGGCTCGCCAATTGCATCCCCATCCGCATCTAGTGCCGAGTATGTAGATTTAATGACCGAGGCATCGACATTGCTGTCAAAAATAAATGAGGTCGTGCTTGAGTCCCGCCTAACCACGTCGGGTAAATCCGTTATTATGGAACTGACTCAGCGAGTCACCGGTATTGTCGCGATACTAGCGGTAAAATCTTCTTGTACAGAAACACAATTGTCAAACACCGAACGCGAGTTGGACAAAATAAAATCTACACCCTCCCTTGTCAAAACTAGCCAACTAGTAAACAACCAGGACAATAAAGTGTCCTACGCCGAAACTTTAAAACTTCGATTACCCAAGGTCGTGCCCGCGATGGAATCCTCCCGCGCGCCGCTTCCGTGTGTTGTCGCCTACCCCACGTCCGAGCGCTTTGCTGATTTTACGTCATCGTCGGCGACTAAGCAAGCGCTCATGAAAGCTATCAAACCGTGCGACGACGGTTTTCAAATCGTAGGGGTCAAGAAAACGGCAAAGTCGGGTGTCGTACTGCGTGTAGCTAACGAACAACAAATTAAGAAGCTCGAGTCCGTGTCTGCGATTCGTTCCGCCGGTTTGCGCTTGGAAAAGCCAAAGGGCCGTAGACCGCGTATCTTGGTCAAAGACGTCCCGTGAGATCTCCGTCAAGATGGAGGACAATGCGTTTTTGACCTCATTATATCGGCAAAATATTAACGGCGAACTCAAAATCAAAGAGGAGGATTTTATTAAGTCATGTAAAATTACCCGCCGACGTACTTTGCAAAACGGTCGTAAATGGATCGGTATTGATATCGATACTAGCGTGCGGAAGCATCTCGTGTCAACTAAGGAGAAGTTGTTTATTGATTGGGCTACCTGCCGTTTTATCAATGACGTCGAGGTAGTCAGGTGCCATCAATGTCAGCAGTTCGGACACGTGTGAAAGCATTGTGTTGCAAAAACTCATATAAAGGAAACAAATTTTATTCCTACTTGTGTGGCGTGTAAACGTTTTAAGAAACCTCATGATCACCGTTGTGGCTCGCCAGAGTGTGGAACCTATAAAATAAAACTTGAACAACTTATTCTCAATACAACTTATTAAATAAAGTATGGATAAGTTAACCATAGGGCAGTTGAATCTCCATAACGATAGGGTTGCGACGTCTGAGTTAGATAAATTAATTGTCGATTATCAACTTCACATAGTTCTTATTCAAGAACAATATCAAAATACCCACTTACGGCACAGGGTAGTGCAGCCGGATGGCAGGTCGCGGGCTGTAATTTATGTCACGAGATCACCTAATTTCACAGTAACATCCATAGCTAATTTAATGACGTCGCACTGTGCCGTCGCGGAGATTGCTTCGGGAAATTGTAAACTTTACGTTGTGAGCTGTTACTTTCAATATTCTGATTCAGTTACTCCTCATATTCACCACCTCCGTCACGTCTTGCAATCACTTGCGGGCTCCAAAATTATCATTGGTGCCGACGTTAACGCGTCTTCATCCTTGTGGTATGGCAAGGTTAGGGCTACTGACATGGAACGGCGCTGTGCTGTTGAGGAATTCATTGCTGAAATGAATCTCTCCATTCATAACACCCCTGATGCACCACCTACTTTTTGCAGCCAAATGGGCGAATCTTGTATTGACGTCACACTTTCTAGTGCGGACGTTAGCTTGGATAGGTGGCGTGTCCTACCAGATGCGTCGTGTAGTGATCATCGCCTGATCGTGTACGAATTTGTTTCAACATTACCCCAGGGTCCAACATATTGCAATGATAGCTTTAGGTACAAGACTAAGGGTGCGGATTGGAACTTTTTTAGTTCATTATTTGCATCCCAAGCCAGAGACTTCACTCGCAGAGATCTCTCGGCCGAGGAGGGCGCTGAAATCATGTCAGATGCCTTTACTTACTGTGCCGACGTTGCTTTTGGTCGCGGGTCCGTGACTAGTACGCGTAGATGCGACTGGTGGAATAACTATCTAGTCGAACAACGTAAATGCTTTCGTAAAGCGCGCAAACAGTTAAATAGACTAAAGAAACGTCAGGTAACCGGTACCGTTTTTGATGAAGCGCTGATTGCGTTTAGAGTTGCCAGGTCACGTTATAGGGCTTCGGTGGAGAAAGCCAAGGGTGATTTGCTACGGAGGGTTGTACAGAAATTAGATAAGGAGGGCCCGTGGTCGCCTCTATACCATGAGTTCAAAGCCAATAGATCCGTCGATCTGGCATTCGTACAGAACATAAAAGTCAACAATGTTCACACCACTGGTATTGAGGAGACAACGGAAGTTCTACTCGACGAACTTGTCCCTGACGATGTGCTCGAGACAGACAATGATTACCATCAACAGATTAGGTCGTGGGCAGCTATACCGCCGGAGTCACCAGTGTCTGATCTACCGTCCATCAACGAGCTCGTAACTATTGTTAAAACTTTGCCTTTAAATAAATCATCTGGTGAAGACAAAGTCTCAAATAAAATGATAATAGAAGCATGTAAATCCGCGGCTGATGCGATCCTAACTGTGTTCAACCGTTGTATCGCGGAAGGCGTATTTCCTCGTGTATGGCGACGTGGATTCATTCGCATAATCCCCAAGAATGGAAATAAACCCCCCGATGACCCTAAGTCATACCGGCCTATCACGCTTTTGCCATCTTTAGGGAAACTACTTGAGCGACTTATCGTTCCTCGTTTACTGCCAGGTGGACCAAAATTCCACAACAATCAATTTGGTTTCACTGTAGGAAAGTCTACTGTCGACGCGGCTCTTTCTGTCCGATCCATGGTAAATTCGTCTGAACACAAGTATATAGTAGGCATTTTTCTGGACATTTCCGGTGCCTTTGATAACGCATGGTGGCCAATGTTACTCTTAAAACTGAAAGGTCGTGGCTGTTTTAGTAACATATATAAATTAATATACACGTATTTCCTTCACGGTTCCGTTAAACTGAAGCTTGGTCATTGTTCTCGGTCGAAGTCTTTATCAATGGGATGTCCTCAGGGCTCGGTTATCGGTCCGTATTTATGGAATTTAGGATTTGATGATTTGCTCGCGATTCCCCTTCCTTGTGGCTGTACTTTGACTGGATATGCGGATGATGGCCTTTTGCTAGTACAGTCAAATACCCGCGCCGGACTGGAGAATTTGGCTAAAGACTGTCTCAGTAGGATCTCGCGATGGGGCGAACGAAATCGCTTAACTTTTGCACCCCATAAAACTTACCAGCTATTGCTTAAAGGAAATCTAAAGTCGTGGCCGTCTATTAAATTTAACAACGTTTCCGTAAAACGAAAGGAGTCGGTTTGCTATCTCGGTCTAGTTTTGGAAAAAAACTTTTCTTTCATTGAGCATATTAAGGCTATTAGTGAGAAAGCCAAAAAAAACTTCTATGCGCTGACGCGAATTTCAAAAGCCACCTGGGGTCTCTCTTTTCTTACGCTCAGGATCATATACGGAGCAACCTACCTGGGATGCGTGTGCTACGGGGCACCTGTCTGGGCTGATAGGGCCACAATAGGCGCGGTACGGCGAAAACTTCTTCAAGGCCAGCGTCTAGCCTTGATTTTCCTGTGTAAGGCTTATAGGACGGTTAGCACTGAAGCCCTACCTGTGCTCGCGGGCGTACTTCCGGTAGATCTTGAGGTGCAGCGACGTGCTGCTATGTACTACAGTGCGAGACCTAATTTGTCAGCTAGCTTTCTGGCAGAACGTGATAGAAATAAAATTGCAAGATTGTTTAAGCCAATAACGGACGTTTGGGATGAGCTTATAACTGAATGGCAGGGTAGATGGGCATCTTCTATTAAGGGCCGCCACCTGTATCAGTTCTTTCCATCCGTGCATGAGCGGCTGGAGAGGACATGGTTGGAGGTGGATCACTGTGTTGCCCAATTTCTTACTGGCCACGGCAACTTTAAAGGCAAATTGTTCTCATTTAAACTTATTGATTCACCATGGTGCCAATGTTCGACAGAGGAGTTGCGATACGAGCAGTCGGCCCATCACATACTCTGGGAGTGTGATCTCTGGCAATATGAACGTAACACTATGTTAAATAATTTAATTGTTTCGTCAGGTGTAGTTTATTATACGGACCTTGTGGAATCTAGAACGAATTTCCGTGCGTTTAGGCGTTTTTGCCATACCTATTATTGGAAGCAAGTATAACAGCTCACACATAGGACCCACTTAGTTTTTAGTCAAATTTCCGTGGTGCTTGGCGACTGGGCTTCACCCAGTTGTACAGTCTCTTCTTTGTGCCTTTAGGCTTAATTCATTCTGTCTCCTGCAGTAATTCACCGAGGGAAGTGAAAACCATAGTTTTTCTTCTTCTCCTCTTATAATATCTTCTGATTCACTTCGTTGCGGGAACCAAGACAGTTACTCATGTCCCTGGGACGCGCCGGACTTCAGTGTTCCGGTGTTTTCATGGTTGTATCTACTGTAGATCCTGGCTTACAGGAGTTGCAGCGGTTTTGGAAGGTTGTGGCGGGCTTGTCCCATAAAAAAAAAAAAAAACATTGGCTGCATCAGCGGATAGGAAGCAAAGAAGTTATCAAATGCTAAATGAACAGTAACACCTTCTTCTATCAGGCTTTGTGACAAAGTTTTTACCACATTGGACCCTAGTCCTAACTCTTGTGTGTTGATGTTATTCTTGCCTGTATACACTTGAAATTCATAGACGTATCCAGTAGAGCTATCTGCCCTTACCCCAACTTTAAATCCACGTTTTATGGGTTTTGATGGCATGTACTGTTTCTAAGACGAAATGCCTTTGAATCTAATCATTGCCTCGTCGATACTTTGTGACGTGGACGTTTTGGCTTCATTATTGCTAGCAGTGTTCAGCATTTCCAGCAACGGGCGAACTTTATATAGCTTGTCGTAGTCTGGACTTGATTTGGAAGGAGTTTGGGTATTGTCGTTCAGATGGAGATTTTCCAAAAATTTTTTAAATCTTTTGCAGATCAATACTTCTGCCACCTCATTTACTCTGAACAACGGGTCACTAGACCAGTATAAATCAATGGATGGTAAAACGTGGATTCCCATAATTATAATAATGCCAATAAAGGCTCGTATATCGACACACGTCACTGGTTCCCAGTTCTTATTATTTTTTTGGGCGGCATACAAGTTCGTTTGTTCAACGATTTGATTTATTACCGCGTCTGAAATCAATATAGAAAAATATACGAACGGTTTCGGTAAAGAAATCTTTGCTGTCAGTGGTACCCGATCGTAGTCTTCAGCTTTAGGTCTACTCTCTTCTGACCAAATGACTTTTTTCCATTCGTCGTCGTTATCATCATCGTCTGAGGTTTCACTCTGCGATTCGCTTTCCGATGATGAAGAGGATTCTGATGACAGAACACGATGTCGACGATTTGGGACGCCTCTGGGACTATCTTCAGACAAGCGTTCAAATTGTTCAATATTTGGACTGACGTTTTCCAAATCCTCGTCCAAAGATGCACCGGGAATTGTACTTGGAACTAAGCCTGGAACTTCATCCTCTAAGACACGAGCTAAATTGATGTCTGGATCATCCGCTTCGTATCCGTCTTCGGAATCGTCAGGATCATCCGGGAGGCCCAACATCATTTCAAACTCTTTCTCGATGTCGTGATCTCTAAGTGCCGCCTAAAAATAAAAACAAAGCAATAAAAAAAACGAGGCAATGGAATGTCATAAAATGGCCGAGAAAGCAGATGGCCAAATACGACCACCAGAATGTATTGGCTGGGGGGCAAAGGTCACATGCGGCCACCAAGAAAAAATAAAAAAGTGCGTAATTTTAGAAACGTACTTAAAAAATAATATGCATTACAGCAATTATAAACACTTAGTAATAAATTAAAGTAATTTCTTACCATTTTTTATAATTACTTTCGAAGATTCCACTAGATTAATTTTCACGAACAAAAATACCCAAGTCACGCGCTACTTGTTGTCAGCAAAGTGACAGCTGTCAGTGAAGACATAAATGGCGGTCGTTTTTTGACGTAATGTAAACCAGTGTTGTCCTTATTAGGAATCAGAAATCCTAATAATGAACGAAACTCCAATTATTTGGGTGAAAAGTTGGTGGAGCATATAGGCCCCACTACCTTATAAAGGGTTAGAGGCCCAAACATTACTATCTTTATTTGAAAATAATAAACAAGGAAAACAAAATAACCTATTAGTGTGAATACAACCTGCTAGCCAATTATGAATATCATTTATTTATTTATTTATCATTTTATGTACCTGTTACGTATCGGTGCCGACACATGTACCTACACCGTGATCAACGCCGTGCCACGAGGAGCATATCTGCTGAATCAGGACGTTAGACCTACTTTGATGCAACGAAGTATTGCAACACCTAAACTGCTGATTCGTTTCCTCATGTCACCGCCTCGTGCCCAGCTGCGAATCGCTGCATCATCAATCACCCCACTAAATTTAACCTCAATAGGTTTTATTGAAAACCTTCTTTCCAAATTATTTTAAGAGAAGAAGTTAGTGTTGTTCTAACATCGAACGCATTCGCACTTAGGTTAGTTAGATTTTAGGAGTTACCATGTAATTTTAATTATAATAAATTTAGTAAAATGATCATAGTTTCCATTTGCACCCTCTGTCGCTGGCAGAAACATAACTGGCGCAGTCGGTAGGATATTCGCGGGCCGGTTCGCGAGCGCGTTAAAATTATCTAATATCGATATTTGTGATCGCGAGCTACCCGGGTCGCTATCAAGCACCGTACGAATATCAAGAATCTACGTGAAGCCACAGCAGAGGATATCCAGACATTGATATGGCAAATGGAATCAAGAAATCAAAAAGTAGAAGATATTAAGGAAAAGAGAAGAAAATACATTAATATAATTTAAGTGGAGTAACTACCCGCTGCACTCCAGCACGGCATCGGGATACCCACCTCCTCCAAGGCAACCAGAAGTAAGTGGTAACGATACATGTGAGCGAGGCCCAAATCATTCGCATAACTACGCGGTGGCCCCTCTTCGTCGCCCACAATGTACCCGTATTCGGGCATTAGACCACCCAGGAAGGCATCCACAGGTTGGAAGACCATCGCGCGCACGCATGTTCCGTCGTCGTAATGGACTACACCATCAATGGTCAGTAAGGACATCATGATTTCCTCACCATGAGCCTGGCCATAAAGGCGCACTGCCGGCCCGTTTTGCACTTGGACCGAAGTTTATACTCCATATTGAGGAAAAATTATATAATTACGAAAAAAAAGCGATATCTATAGCGCCGGCACTACAGCAATAATTAATGGACGACTAAGTAATGTACAAAGTAATAAAACTTTACCTTGAAGAGGGATCAAATATAATTATACACTACAAGCAAAAATGTTCGTCACCGAAGTTGCACATAAGCAATTGGTCAGCTAAAATTTATCGCTACTATCGGAAAGGTGTATTTCAATTGATAAAATTTAGTCTGACAGGAACACCCGTTCTCCATCCTATCTGCAAAATCGAGAGAGAAATCGAAGAACTCAAAAGGACAAACCACGGAATAGCGATCAGCACTATTCTCAACGTTAGTCTTCGAATAGTTGCTGTTCTGAGGGTGGAGATGTTACGTATCGGTGCCGACACATGTACCTACACCGTGATCAACGCCGTGCCACGAGGAGCATATCTGCTGAATCAGGACGTTAGACCTACTTTGATGCAACGAAGTATTGCAACACCCAAACTGCTGAATCGTCTCCTCATGTCACCGCCTCGTGCCCAGCTGCGAATCGCTGCATCATCAATCACCCCACTAAATTTAACCTCAATAGGTTTTATTGAAAACCTTCTTTCCAAATAATTTTAAGAGAAGAAGTTAGTGTTGTTCTAACATCGAACGCATTCGCACTTAGGTTAGTTAGATTTTAGGAGTTACCATGTAATTTTAATTATAATAAATTTAGTAAAATGATCATAGTTTCCATTTGCACCCTCTGTCGCTGGCAGAAACATAACTTACCTACACCACACAGACAATATTACACAGGACAACACATTATAAACATGAGGTACATAGGTACTGCATATCCCTTAAGGGATTTCTTCCTGCAGACCTGCGACAGGAAAAGGAAATTAAACATAAGACACAGTGTAGATAGATGATACATGCAACGAATACAGAACAAAATAAAATTACTGAAAGAACTATAAAACTAGAATGACGGTAATATAATGATAAAATATATCATAATACTTTTTATTAAAAAAACGAGTAACAGTACCTGTCAGTAACAGTACTTGAGTCAAATCTAACTCGGGTACACACCTTTGTAACTATTTTAGTTTTTACATCAAACGGCTACGCGAAAAATGTATTCGAATGTAATTTATTTAAACACACATCACCAGCACAAATCTCACAGCTGTAATTTTCCATAATTCACAGTAAAATGAATTTTTAACAACAATTATAATTTATTCATAACCGCTCATAAAAGCAATCAAAACAAAATGGCGAAAAAAACGTAAACAATAACTTTACCAAAATTAATATATCCATTTTCAATAAACAAACGCTACGTTTTGTTGACTTCTTAAATTAGTCGAATAACGAAGAAGCAGTGCTTTTGCAGTTGTATGGCAATTACCAACCTAACAACAAAAAAATTTCAACATCGTCACGAGAAAACAAGGAAAATGTACCGGCTACGCATTAGTACATGCTTCCGCCACATCATTCAATAACTGGGTGGTGGCGCCACTGGCGCGACGCTCCAATATCGAAGAAAGTAGAGAGTGGTTCTAGTACTTCAATGTTTTTTCGATAGATGGCGCTAGTTACCACTTTTTCGAATTCAGTATCAATAAAATTACGAAATCTCTGTATGATGTCAGTAAATATTCATGTCGTGTTTATGAGTGACACTATGTATTTGACTATGTAGGTTTACCATGATTTTGTAGGGTATGCAGTGCTTATTTGCATGTATGGTGTGCACCCCACTGTCATCAATTGTTTGGAGATCGTCGGCATTATTTATGATTCGTGGCAACTTTTGCTGATATATCTGGTTCTTGTGTTACCATCATAATTTTTACCCCCAAATACATTGTTGGAAGGAAATATCGCGCATCTTTAGGAACAATCGAGCTTATATCATTTTGTTAAACATAATCCCTTTGCATGTAACACATTAATAATTCTTTGTACGATACTCTTATATGTTCATCCTAGGGCTGTTACGGAAGTGATTTTATCGGAATCGGAGCTTTTAAATTTAGTTTATCGGAGTCAAAACTGGAATCGGAGTCGGAGTCCTGAGATGGTGACAAAAATGAGATGTGTCAAGGATACATAATTCAATAAAATAGCAGAAACATTATGTTATCAGCCTCTTTAATTTCAATTAAAAAAGATAAAATGATTATAATTATATTTCAGCACACACGTTAATGTGTAAGCTATTTAAAATAAGAATGTCATAATAATATGTTTATCCGAATTCCTTAAAAAAAAGTTCAATCTGATGTATTGATTCTAAAAGTAGCATATTATATTTAAAAAATAAAAGCTTGGAAGCTTTATCATCGTCTACACTCCGTCTGTTTAGGTAGTTGAATATTTGTAAACCAACCATAAAAAGAGTTCTTTATAGTTGACATTTCCATGATTCAAAATACTTCATAAGATAATAAAATTGTTCCCATTTTTACGACAGTTTTCTCTATTAAATGTTATGTTTCTGTTCCTTTTCACTTATTTCTTAGTTAATATTATATATATCTGCTTGAGCATAATAATTTAATAACATTTATTAAATCATTTAATAGACACCATAAAGAGCCTAAAATCCCAGGTATCCAAAACCTTTCTTTAAGAACGAAGCGTCAGATAATGTTGTCAAATTAAAGAGTACAACTAAGATGTAGCGCGACAATGAAAGTAGCGTGTATTACGTTTAGTCGGTTAATCAGGCGCCATTGACGCCATTGTCGTTTGCGCTCGCGTTCCTATTTTATTGAATTTATCTTGTTTCTTTGTTTTGTTTATGTTATTAAGTTATTTAAGTTTAGGTTATTCGTCGTTTGTAGTTAATGTGTTCAAATATATTAAAGAAACACATATCCGTATTGTAGTGTTTGTAGAATTATATGGTTCTGTCGTCTCATGCGTACACGCCGCGCGCTATAGTATAGTGGGGGAGCGGGGCATACCCCCTCCCTCACTCACTTTGCTTGGAGCCACGAAGCTGGACGGACGCGCGTGCGGCGAGTTAGGCAGTGAGCCGATATCAACCAAAGTGCACAAACAGTACACGTATAAGAAAGAAATCCGTAGGTACATCAGATTCAGAATAGTTTCTATTTAAACATGATAATGAAGTAGACCCATAGGCTAGGCTCTTGTACGATTTAGGCATTTGTGCTTGTATGTGTGTGTGTGTGTGACAAATGAACGATTTTAAAGTGAATTTAGTTTAAATTAAAACACACGAAATATTTGAAGTAATAGAAGGTTAAGTATCTCTGTGTCACGTGTTTTTTTTTTGTTTACCTTTAGTTAATTATCTAAACAGATGAACTATAGTCTATTTATTATGTGGGCTGAATATTAGGCCGGCACCACTAAAAAGTTGCTCGCTGTCTACCGAGCCTGGTGGACAGGACAAATATTACATGCAGCAGCCGAAAAGTCTCAGCCGAAAACCAGCGTCTAGGCAAAGCACTTCTGCACACGGTTCTGAAGGACATCTCCGGTCAACGTACTTACGTAAGTATGTCCCTTTAACTCGTCGAGTACCGGTTTTGTAGACACAATTATAGAACAATAGGTTGCGGTCACCGGTGACCGCTTGGTGTTTGACAGTTTAAGCGGAATGTGCAACAAGACAGATAATGGAATAGGAAACAAAGATTGACATAGGTATAGTAATAGGTAGTAATATAATGCGTTACAGCCTATGTACTTAATCGTTCGTGTGAACGAATAGATGCACAGTAGATAGCAGTAACAGTGACTCCACCAAGTTAATCTAGACCCACGCAACCGAAATCTTAGCAATAAAACAATGCTCACACAAACAAAAACATAGGTGATGGAGTCGGAAATGTCTAGAAGGTAGGATTAAGGAACGGGCACACCTTTTCAATGATGTAGCATGCTGCCAGGCCCTGGATTCCCATCGGGATGTCCATCTACACCAAGGCAACTAAAAGTAAATGGCAACGATATATGTATGTGAGCGAGGT